AACTTCATATTAAGAAAAGTATGTGAAAATAGGATCTCACATAATTGAAAAATAATTTTGGAATGATATTATTTATTAAGATAAAAGTAATTAAAAGTAGTTTACACTTCCCTTTAATTTAATTTATATTTTTGCTTATATATTAAATATGAAAATAGTATAATAGGTGTATTTTAAATTAGAAGGATCAAACACAAGGGTTTAAGTGGTATATTCTTACCACTTAAAAAGTTGAAAGCATAGAAAAAAAAAATATATATATATATATATATATATATATATATATATATATAATGTGAATATTCTGAAGAATGATAGGTAGAAATTGAAAAGTGAGTCTTAACTCATAAATAAAGTAAGTTTAAAATATTATATAAAAATGAATTATAAAAATTGACTTCAAATTTTTTACGGGTTCATCTGGCTTAATATGATCCACTTAACTTGAGAATTAAAGTGTATTAGGGCATGTCAATTAAACTAATTCCAATTAACTCAGTTTTTGTTTTCAATTTTTTTAATTCATTTTTCCTTTGATGTTATGATTTTTTTTATATTAATTTGTTTTAATTTATATTTAATATGCTATCGGCTTTTTCATATTTATAATTTTCAGCATTATTGGAATTTTTATTTGCGAAAAATACTCACTTATTCCACCAATAGAATGGGTTTGAGCCAACTTCTGTATTTTTTATCATAAAAAATAAATTTAGTTAATTGAGTTGTTTTTGTTAACATTTTATTATAATAGAGTAATTCAAAATATTTGTTCTCTTTTATCCTAACAAAATAATATATTGATTTATATATAAGTTTGACTTTTCTTTTATTAAGTGTGGGTGGAATGAAACAATGGAAAATATGTAAATTGTTGAAAGAAATATAGTTCTATTTATCCCAACATGCAAGCAAAAGAAAAGTAGCATATGTTTAGTTGTTTTGAAGTTACCTTCTTAATTGTTTGTAGTGTTTTAATTGTAATTTTCTTGGCAAATTGATGGAGATTAGGTACAAAGATTATATACATGGGATCATTAGTTGTTCGATTGTAATATGATATTATTTTATTAATTTAAATTTAATTTAAAAAAAATTATATATTAAAGTATATATTATTTAAAAAACAAGATTTTTTAAAAAGTTATTTCATTTATTTAAACAATAATTAAAATTTATGGAGGTAATTTTATAATCAAATAAATGTTTAATTTAAATTCATTTATTTATTATTATTTTATTTCACTTTCTTCTCAAACGAATAAATATATATTTCACCTTATTTTTTTTTCTCACTTTTTTTCTAACTAATATACCCTTACAAATATTTTAAATGGAGAAAAAAATTAAAATAATGAAGATACCATTAAAAAATTATATATAGTAATAATAATAATATAATTATTTTTTTATACCTAATAGATATAATTTTTAATCAATATAATGTTGAATGTCATTGAAAAGTATTTTTTTTACTCATAATAAATTAATTATAATATTTCCTTAGTATAATAACTTTTTTAAAATTACCATATTATTAATAAAGTATAGTTTCTAATAGCTGTTTTGAGAGAATTAGATGAAAAACATATTTACAGTAGAAATTTTATAATATATACTAATAAATTGACAAATATATAAATGTATATGGTGATTTATCTAAAATAAATTTATTACATAATATATTTTATATTATTGAGAAGTTAATTTGACTTATATTAAGAAGTTATTTTATTAAATACAATACATTACATAATATAAATAAAATAACGAGTAAGAATACATCAAATAAAAAGTAAAATGTACATATTTATAAATTTCAATCGATAATAAAATATTATTAAGAATACATTAAAAGGAATTGAATTCTCTTAAATTTGAAACCCATAATATATATATATATATATATATATATATATATATATATATATATATATATATATATTGGTTTAAGTGTGATGAAAGGTTAAATCAAATTAATGTTTCTTTAATTGCAAAATTAAAGCCATTGGGAGGTTAAATCAAACCAGAGACTTTAAATGTTCAATGTAAAAATATTGTAACAAATATTTTCCACAATGTCTGAGTTGCTTCCTTCTAACGTCATTTCTTTGTATATATAATTAATTTTAATAAATGTATATTGTTAAAAAAAATTATTAATTAAAAAATAAAAATAATATACTATCATCTTATTTTTATTTAAATTAAACACTTTTAAATTATCTAATTATCTTAATTTAAAATATTATATATATTATTATGTATATATTAATTTTTTTATTTTAACTTAAGAATAAAAACTAAAAAAGAATGACAAAAAAGTTTTACAAATTTAAAACTAGTAATTAGTTTATTTGGACAGTGAATGATATTGCTTGAATTTAAGGATATGGAAAGGTATAATAGTTAAATAAATAAGTTAAAAGAAAATATTTTTCTTGAATAATAATAAAAAATATGTTATTTTTTTACAGTAATTTATATATTATAAAAAATATTATTTAATAAATCATTTCATATATTCTCAAATACACGGTATTCTTACTTAATATGAACGTTGTCTTGTACGTCTCTGTTTTTTTATTTTTATTTTTTATTTTAAGAAAATCATTTCACTTCTTTAAAATCAAGGACGAGATAAAAAAACTCATGACACGATCTATCAATCTCATCTTACCTACATCCATCAACCTGGGAAGAACATATATAATTATAAAAATATGTGAATGTAAAAGTAATTATAAAAATCAAATGAATAATTTAATATATTTTATAGTTTTTAATATAATATTATCTTATTAATTTAAACTTAATTATTTTAGATAAAATTATAATAACAAATTTTATAATTATATATTAAATAATATATTATTAAAAAAATATCTTAAAGTGCAAATTTAAAAAGAGATTTTACTTATAACTAACTAAAAATTATATGAATAATTTTATAATCAAAGAAATGATTTATTTTATTTATTTATTATTTATAATTTTATTAAAATACTTTTTTATGTTACTTTCTTTTTAAATTAAAAATTATATTTTCCATTTTTTTCTTCTCATAAATGTTTTTACTAACTATAATATACCTAAAGCATATGTAATTACATATATAAATGTATATAACAAGTTATGTCATAATTATATCCTAATTATTTTTAACACATAATATATTTATTGCTATTGGGAAGTGAATTTTACTTTTGTTTTTAATTATTTGTTTTTAAATTTTTTATTTATAAATATGAAGATTATATTGAATATTTTTTATTTATTATATTCTTAATGTTTTAATTATATTTATTGTATAAAGAGAAAATATCTTATTAAGAGTATTTTGAAAAAAAAGTTAATTAATAAAGATATTATTAAAAAATAAAAAAATTAATAATATATAATATTCCATATCATTGAAAAGTTATTTTTACTTATAATATATATAATTAAGGTCGGAACTATAAATTTTTAAAACGTGATCCTCTCTCTCTCTCTCTCTATATATATATATATATATATATATATATTAAAATTATTTATAATATAAAAATATATATTATGAAAATTATAAATATATTTAATATCGATGTAAAATAAATATATACCAGAATAAATATGTTTTGTTATGTTTCACGAAATTTTATATTAAAAAATTTGTAAAATATTATATTGTAATTTATTTAATAATATTTTTAATATTATTTGTTAAATTTAAATTTATTTTATTATATATATACATATATTTTTAAATGAGTATATAATTATTTTATAAATTTTTAGAATTTAACTTTTTCTTTTACATTTTAATATAAAATTAAACATCATAAATTATTAAAATAATTAATTAATTGATAATGAATAACATACATAATAATATTTATAATAATAATAAAAATTTAAAAAGTTATTTATTTCAAGAAAATTGTAAAATTAAAGAAAAAATTTATAATTTTTATGCCATAAATACTAATGCCTAAACCATAAGATGAAACTGTGATGTGCAAGTCATTGATAAAAAAGAAAAAGAAAAGAAGAAGGTATAAATATAAAAATAAAAAATGGGTATTTAAAGATGAAACGTAGAGAGTGAAAGATAGAAGAAAATAAAAATAAAGATGTGATATTAAAAAAATAAAAAGAAGATATAAATATAAAATTGTGTGAAAAAATAAAATAATTATTCGTTAAAAAAGTATAATAATTAAATTATTATATTAAGATATTTTTATTTATTTTTTAATTATATATATCAAAATTTTGGGGAGCCGGCCACCCATATTATCGGTTCCTTCTCTGATTATAATATTTCCTTACTATAATAACTTTTTAAAATGAACAAATTATTAATAAACTATAATTTCTAATATCTGTTTTGAGAGAATTGGTTGAAAAACATATTTATCATAGAAATTTTAAAATATATATCAATAAAATATTAATAAATTGACAAATATATAAATGTATACGATAATTTATCTAAAATAAATTTATTACATAATATATTTATTATTATTGAGAAGTTAATTTTACTTATATTATATTAATTGTATTATTTATTAAATATAATACATTTATTATATTACTCAATATATAAATAAAATAATGAGTAAGAATACATCAAATAAGAAATAAAAATATAAACAGATTCATAAATTTCTATAGCTAATAAACCATTATTAATTAAGAATACCTTGAAAGGAATTGAATTCTCTTAAATTTGAAACCCTCAACAAAAAGATATAAATTGGTTTAAGTGCATGAAAGGGTTAAATCAAATTAATGTTTCTTTAAATGCAAAATGAAAGTCATTGGAAGTTTAAACCAAACCAGAAACTTATTAAGTGTAACATATTGTACTGCAACAAATAATTTTCACAATCACTGAGTTGCATTGCATCCTCCTACAGGCATTTCTTTGTATATATATAAATGCATGCATGAGTAACATATATGCATCATAATCACTCAGAGAAAAAGGAAAAAGAAGCCTAAAACAAAACATGGCACCTTATATTTCAGGAGTGAGAGCCTTTATTACTGTTTTCCTAACCACCCTAATGCTTCCCTTGCTTCTCCCAGAAGGTTATTCTTCTTCTGTGCTAATTGCCACTGCAGAAACCCCAAAAATACCAGATGATGATCTGATAGAATTTCCTTTAAATTTAGAGTACTTGGAGGCTGAGTTTTTCTTGTTTGGTACTCTGGGTTATGGATTGGATGTAGTTGCTCCAAACCTAACTGGGGGAGGACCCCCTCCCATTGGTGCCAAATTGGCTCAACTTGATTCCTTTGCCAATGATGTCTTCGTGCAGTTTGCTTATCAAGAAGTTGGTCACTTGAGGTTTTCTTCGATCTCTATTTTATGCAATTATAATGATTTTTTGACAGAATAAATCATATATAGAGAAGATTTCTGAATTGTCTCCTACAGGGCCATAAAGAGCGTAGTGAAAGGGTTCTCTAGGCCATTGTTGAACCTAAGTGCAGCATCTATTGGCAAGCTAATGGACGATGCATTTGGGAAACCTCTGATTCCTTCCTTCGATCCCTATGCTGATTCACTAAATTTTATTCTTGCTTCTTACGTGATTCCCTATGTTGGCCTCACCGGCTATGTTGGTACCAATCCACTTCTGCAAAATCCTTCTTCCAGGGCGGTAAAACTCAAACTCATTTATTTATGATTCCTCTAAACTTGCGCTTACCTTGAACTTCCATGTCAGGTAAATGTGCACATGTTTTTGCATTTGCATTGGAAAACTAATAATAATAATAATAATAATAATAATAATAATAATCAAAATCGATCAAACATAGACTTAATCCTCTTCTGATAAACATGTTATAAACAGAATGCAAATGCGTACCTGAATTAACCATAATGAAGATGTTTTTGTAGAGCATCTTATAGTCTTTCACTTGAAGAGCACCTGTATTTCCCTCTTGATTTTCTCTCTTGATGGGGATAGAAAGAAAAGAACAGGAATAAATCTTACGTTCTGTCTACGTGCTCCCAAAAGGGGACCACGACCCTTTAAAATAACCAGAATTAGGTTAATTACTTAAGTTTTAGTATTTTCAATTTGACCCCTCATCAAATTAAAAATTGTTCAATCTCTCGCAATTTTATTTTCAGAACGTATGCCTTTAGCCAAAACTTTAATTTAGTCATATTACTTTATTATTTGACTTAATAAATAATGACCCTAAAACATTTAAATTATGTATCATATATATTCATTACCCAAATTTTACAAACATGAACAGCTTGTAGCAGGTCTTCTGGGAGTAGAGTCCGGGCAAGATGCAGTTATTAGAGCATTGTTGTATGAACGCAAAGCACAATTGGTGCAACCCTATGGAGTGACTGTGGGAGAGTTCACAGATCGCATTTCAGACCTAAGGAACAAGCTAGGAAAAGCTGGTTTGAAAGATGAAGGTCTTACCGTGCCTAGGTCTGAAGGTGCTGAGGGTAATGTTACAGGCAACATTCTGGCTGGTGACAAAGAATCATTGGCGTATTCAAGGACTCCAAAGGAAATATTGAGGATTGTGTATGGAACAGGTGATGAACATGTTCCCGGTGGCTTTTATCCTGATGGTGGAAATGGTGACATAGCTAGGTCTTTCTTAAAGCACACTCCCTAAAGATAAAACCATTTGTAACCTTTCAACAAATAAATCATCGTAATAAGAATTTACCATAATAAAAATTTCTCTTATATATGCATAATAAGAATACATTTAACTGTTATTTTGATTCACTTCATTCTTGTGGTATGGTTTAATTTTTTTTTTTTATTGAATACTTAACATGAACTTTAATTAAAATGTAATTTTAATAATTTTAACGTGATAAGAAAGTTAGAGAACAAATACAAGGAATATTAAATATAAGAGCAAGAATACAAATAATTGTCTAACTTCGATTTTTGTCAAATTTACCTCTTATTTAATCTAATTAAATTAACATGAATTATTTCATTTTTTTTAATTATCAAGAAAAATACAATAATATATCAATCTATTACACTAATAAGACAAAGAAAATCAAACAATAATTATGAGATGAGTTTCAAACAATATCACCTCTGACTTTTAAATAATAAAGTATAAAGAATATTAACTTCTCCTGTACACCTCGTTCCAAGATTTGTAGCTTTTCGAAGTGAAAGAGAGAATTTTAAGTAAAATGCTATTTGACAATCTAAATTCTATCCTGAATTAATATAATAAGTTGTTCATTCATTATATTGATATTAAATTATCATCTCTTTTAAGTAATTGTGATTTTTATTTTTATTTTAAATAGAGTTAATTCATTATTAATTATGATAATGAATAGTAATCATTTTGATGGAACATGAAAAATCATAGAAAACAAATTAATCAATTATTTTATCATAAAAGGAATTCAATATATTTTAAATATTATTAAAATAATAGATTAATACGTTATTTAGTTAATTAAATGATACTTCGTCAATATTATAAAATATTTTTAAAAAATACATGAATCATCGAATAATTAATCAACTTATGTCATTTATTTAAAATGTCTAGTTTAATGCATTAAACACAAAAGGTAATTCCGTTCCGTAATAGTTTAAGAACCTTTCGTTTGTTCAATTTCGGGATTCAAAAATTTGTATTAGATAAATCATTTTAATATATAAATTATAATTATAGTTAAAAAGTTATAATAAATAAATATTTTTTGAACATATAATTATATTTTAGAAATATTATAAATAATTTATAATGTGATATTTTAAATATACAAACACTCTCCATAGTTAAAAACGCATTCAGAGAAATAGTCTTCCTAATTTGAAGTCTACAAATAATAAATCAAAATGATTATACTGATTAATCTATTCTGTCCGGTGTCTCTTAGCTAAACATTCCAAATATTGAAACCTAATTTAATTGTAATTTTTTCAATTATTTTAAACATCTTAAAATAATATTTTGAAACTTAAATAAGTATTTATCTTTTAAAAAAGTTTTTTCTTTCTCAAAACAGAGCATACATGGAACCTACATATTTCACATTTTGATTTGTTATATCGCAACCGTTCAATATAATATATACCATATATCTAACGGTGCCAGATCGTATTTCATAGGTGCCACATTCGAGATACTCGCCCCCCTGTATCTGCAAGTTTTGAAGATCTGTTAAAATTGACACGAAAAAAGGGTTAAGACTGTAAAAGAGTGGTGTGAAGTGTGTGAGTGTTCTTCGCCCACCGCATTAACAACAATTTCTCAAACAGCGTCGTTGAAGGTAAAGGTTTTCGGTATTTTGTTTCTCAAATCTGGTATCGTTGTTTTTGTCAATCTCATATTTCGTTCGATTGGATTTCATTAGCAATTTATTCGAATCGTAACAATTCCAAGTCGATTTTCGCTATGTTTGTGTTAATAAGAGATTGCCCTGTGTGTTTCTTATGATCCTGTGTTGAATTAAATTAATAATTTATAGTCAAGTGTTGCCGTAGGACAAAACTTACGCACTCGATCGGGGTTCACTTCCTGCATCGCGCTGATACCTTAGCATTGGTGTCTGTGTGAATTACGAGAGTGTACGTAGCTAAATGTTGGATTTCAATTATCTACGTTAAACAAGTCTTTTAGCTGAACTACATAAGCGACGAAACCCTAAATCGCAGCTTTTAATTGGATTATGTGTTATTTTATTTTATTTCCTGACCACTTGTGCATTACAGGATATGATATGATGTTATCCGCTTTTATCTTTTTATTCTGTTAAATATTTTATGGCGTAGAAAATTTATTTGGGCTCGGGTAGTTTCTGTGCCAATTCTGCGTGTCCAAGTGGGAATGGGTATAGAATTTGAATCTAAACAATTTGGGAATTTTGAGAGTTATTAGAGTTGGCTTTTGGGATGATCTGAGTTCCAGTTTTTTTATTTTACTTTTTTTTTTGGTGAGTGTGTCAAGCGTCGTAGTTCTTAATGACACAACTTACTTAGGTCAGTGGTCGTGAGTTTGTTGGCCATGTTGTTTATGTTCGACCATCCCTTTAAATTACCTGTTGGTAACCTGATCACAATTCGTTCAGGCTATTGAATTAAGAATTCAACTGCATGATTTGATTTATGTTATTTCTACACAAAATCATTTGAACCTGTTTCTATTTACAGAAACACGTTACACTAGGCAGATAGGTATGGCTGTAGATTCAGCTTCATCAGTGAAGAAATCAAGCAATGGAGTTAATGAGTTGCTGACATTTAATGCTGAGAATATGCAAAGCAACATGAAAACTATCTATTACAGGTTTACTGTTGGTTATCAATAATATTTTGAATATGTAATATAGCTTGAGACGTTATATTTGGGTTGGACTTTTTTCATGGAAAATAAGGGTTTTTCTCCCTTTCTTTCTTTACCTGATTATGGAACATGGTTGCACTCCAAGCTGTTTGAGGTGATAGTTTTAGTATGGTTGAAATTGTTTCATTTTATCTATATGAAATAGTCATCTGAGTCCATGATATGTAGATGTAAACTTTAAAGCACTCCTGCTTAAAGGAGAACAAGGGAGGGGGTGGATTGGAGTGGTGGTGGAAACAAACACCCATATAATGTCCTCTAAGGTTTACAATTGAATTTTTGTCTCTTTGTTTCTTTTGCAGCCGAACATTTTTATCTATAATTGGTGGAGTTGTTGCTGGTATTTTGGGATTTACAGGCTTGAAAGGATTTGTGTTTTACTTACTTCTCATGGCACTTACATCACTAGGGCTCATTGCAAAAGCAAGTTTTTCAACCCACACATACTTTGACTCCTGGAATCGAGTGCTACTTGATGGCTTTCTGGGTGGCTTAATGGTATGTTGTTTATGTTCATTTCTCTTTCTTTGGGCTTGGTGTATATGGGACAGTTTATTTTGAATTAGATTGTTAGGGACAAACACAAAAAGAGATAAATATCATATTAAAGTAAGGCATAACCGATATAGATTAGCCAAACTTATGAAGCACATATACTATAGATACCCAGCCAGTGAGGAGAATTGGCATGTGTTCAAGCTAAACACCAAATATCAATGCAAATGTAGGCAGATGATTTCCCTTAAAATATAAGCATTCTATTCCAGCCAAAGAAATCAAGATATATCATACATAGTGTCTACCAGAACCTTTTAGCTTTCTATTATTCTAATACAGATGTTGAATCTTTGAACAAAATTCCAATTAAAAGAAAATGCTTCAACTATTAAAGGTACACTAAGCACTCAACAAAGATGGCAAATAGGGTACTCCAAATGTAATAGCTTCTCAACAATGTGAATAAAAGAAATAATTACTATAGAATTTTTTGAAGTTAGAGTTTCACATGACATACTTATTTGGAGATAAAAGCTTTGTTGTGTCAATCTGTAACATAGCATTAGAATTGATGTTGCTGAGCAATGCAGTCCAATAGCTCCTTGATATGAAATTACATACAAGATTAGGCTTTTATGTTATAATAATGAATTTTGGGAGAGGTCTATATATTGTCTAACTGGTCTTATTTGACCGGTTCAACTTTTGATCATAATATCTTTGCTGGGGATTTTGTTCTCTCTGTGATGTTTACCACTTTTTGAATGTGCATGTGTTCAGAATTATAACTTTCCTTTTTCTACTTCTGCAGTCGTTCGTGCTCTTCTGGACGTATCCTTCTCTTTAATATTACTTTGATGGTGGGTTATGACTAAATACAATTCAATTCTATAAAATCTGTTAAAAAATGGAGTTCTTGTTTGTCCTCTACCGTGACACCGGTGAGTGAGTAATGGAGTAAGTTTTTTTCTAAATTTAACCAGAACTTAATTTATAAGTTAATAGTATGAAAAAAGATTTGGTCGGGGTCGATTTCGAAATTAAGATTTAGTAACAGGAACAATTTCCAAATGTTTTGAGTAAACTAGTGAAATTTTCAAGTTTCTTGAGTAGCAGCTGTCATGTTAATTCAACTTGTGCTATGTTTGTGTAAGCGCTGGTTGCGCTGAGTATATCATTCAATTAAACACAACCTTTCAAAATTTAACTTGCTGGATACATCTTTTGTGTTGAAATTCTTGCCCTTATGTTGTTCTTTGACAAAATAAAGATTTGCCTATGACATTGTCCATATATTTTGATGGATGTAATGCGCAAATGTTTCAAGTGAAGACTATTTGGGCATTCGTAGCTGCAATTGACCCTTACCGAACTTCAGTTACATTCTATAATTGATTACTGCATAGCTTTTCATGATGTTCCCGTTTTTAAACTGAGATTTACTACCAGAATTTTGTCTGTTTATGTATTATTTAAAATAGTATTTCAAGTTAGAAGGAGGCTCAACGTCGCGCTTCAGTTGTGGTTGTTAGATTGGCCTCTAGGTTATTGTTTTTGAAGTTTGCTTCCTGATATAGATTACAATTTCGCCAATTTTCATTTTACGCTTTTTGTACTTTTAGACTTCTATAATAACCAAGTGTGAACTCAATTCAGTTAATTTAATCTCAATTTTAATTATTATAATAAAGTCATATCTTCTTTCACTTAAAACTTCGTTTTTTTATTATTCAAAATATTCACAAATTAAGTTTACGAAATTTTTGTGAATATTATGCTCAATATTTATTGCCTAAAATATCAAATTTTGCACTAAGTACGAAATTGTAATTTTCTTCGAAATTTATCTTGTTACTATATCATTTGAATTTTATCATATTGTTGCTCTAAGTTATATTTTATCTTAAATTTATCATAATTCTTTTTTTGTGTCGAAATAACATGCGTTCTTAAGGATTTTTAAATCAAAATGAAATATGGATTCGAATGATGTTTGTTTAATGTTAATTTGTCATTTAAAATTAAAGGCTTTTAATTTTGTCAAGGGATTAAAGTTGCAAACAGTCTAATCATCATCAGTGAAATTATACATTTATATCTCATTAGCTTTAGTGCTCAATAAAAATTTGTCATTGACTAAAAAGCGTCCTACGATAAATCAAACTCTTTGATTGCCACGATTTTAGTTTGAGAAAATGAGTTTGTTTGATTGCCAATTTTATCATGTTCTAGCTATCTTTTGCGTCATGAAAGTATGGAAAGGGGTCATTCACAGTGTGACTGTTTTTGTTGATTCGACCATAGTATATATAGGACCAAAATTTAAGTGACCCATGCTGCTTAAAGCTAATTATAATTGAAGGGTGTCTCGGCAGTGTTACCTATAATTTCTTTTGTTAGTATTTTTGTAGAGTTAAAGCTAAAAAAGAGGATTTGGCTCGATGTTTAGTTTAGAAGAAGCAGGGAAGTCAAAAGTCAATGGGGGTGTTCCTACGGTAATGCCTCCTAGGGCTTGTTTGCCTCTATTTTATTAATTTACCGACAAGAAATACTTTTGGCATTACTATTGACTAAAATTCATGAATACTTTTGGCAATATACGTGTCACAAAAACGCTCGCAGAAATAAATAAATAAATGCACAGATTTTTTTATCACTTTTTGTGATGCTAAAATGGACCTATGCTTTCCTATATACTGTTCATGCTTTAATCCTCAACCTGTGCGTTTGATGACAAGAGATTTCAGTGCAAAAAGACGCGTCTTAGAAGAAAATATTTAAATCATTTTACAAATGCATTTGATCGGTGGATGTTGGAAGAGGAATGTAAGAATTGAATGCATATTGAGGGAGGGAGAATTTGAAAGTAGCTTTCGTTAGGTGGCCGACACCTGCCATTCCATATCCAAAGCCCGGACACCTACTGGTCTAAATAAATATATACCAAGTGTTATTGACATTATAGTATCTTTATTTTAATAACTATAATTTGTAGTCGTTGATATCAAGTTTGCATATTTTAAATAAAATAGGTGTCAAATTTGAATTCTATAAATATAAAAAATGTAATTCAAAATATTATTGACCTATTTTTAGTATGGATGAATAATAACAAAGAATAGAAAGAGATGAAAAGAATAAATAAAAATATTGTCTATTCAATATACTTTATTATTAATCACATAATTTTTTAGTACTCACTTTATGTCATAAATTTTTTGAATATATACAAATTTTATTTATTGAAAATTTTTAATTGTGAGAAACAAAATTAAATTGATTTTTGAAATTCACAACTGATTGTAAAATTATCATAATAATCTATATTTTAAAAAAAAAACTCTTATTTATTTTCATTCTATTTCCCTTACATTTATCTTAGATTAAATAATTTATATTTTTACTTATTTATCTTTTCTTATTCACCTTTTTTATTCTCTTAATTTATTTTCTCCCAACTAAATCTACCATAAACGATAGACGATTGACAAAATTAATAGATTTTTTCCACTATAAATCGCCTCGATATGAAACGATAGCTAATAATAATCTTTATATAAACTAACAGTCTAATGCATTGTTTAAAAGGTTACTTATTGTATAATCATCATTTTCATGGTTTTTTTTTTTCAAGTTCACAGAACTTCTTATCTATCAACTTTTGCATAAAGTAATTGACTCACTTTAAAGTACAAATTGATTTTCTTGTAAGAATTATTGATCTTGTAGTGAAAGCGAGTAGAACAGTTATATAAAAATAGTTTTTTTTTTTTAATATGTACACTTAAAAAAGGTTCAAATTAAAATGACCTACCTATAATAGATATTTTTCCAACAAAGTTTTTATTTTATACAATATTGTCATGAAACATATGAAAAAAAATCTATTAACGATTATCTCGTAATTTAAAAAAAGAAAAAATATGGTGAGTGAAACTTTGGGGTTAACACGTGTTAAATCAAGTTTATGTCGGTTTCACTTACATGCCCCTCACTCATAAAAGGAGATTAATGAATGCTTGAACATCACGATTGAAAGTGAAATTGTAAAGAAAAAGGATAAGAGGGAGAGAAAAAGAAGAAGGTTGAAGAAGAGAGGAAGAAAGAAGGATGTGGTGGTGGTACACGTCAAGTTTCCGGTGGCCGGAGTTAAACCTATCGGTGTCGTGGTCGCTTTTCCGTTGGCCGGCGTTGGACTTGTCGTATTGGAGCTTGTCGTTGGTTGATGACGTGGTATGGGCCTTGATTACGGGCCTGGAGTCCATAGCTTTGGTCGCCATGCTCTGCTACTTCTTCCTCTGTTGTGGTTGTACTCTCTAATCTCATTCTCATTTATTTTATTTTTGTTTTCTTTTTCTATAAATATATTTTATGTTTCATCAACGAATTGTAGTTAAAATATTTCTAGGGTTGATTGTGGCGGAGTTGTATATTTTTTGTTTGTGATGTGCTGTGAAATTGCGAACTGTGGTCACTTCTCGGTGCTGCTTGGTTCCTCCTTCATGATGCCAAAAGGATAAAACCAGTTCTTTTATGAGTTTCAGGTTTTTTTTTTAATTTCTTTGAATATGATTGATTGTCACTAAAATATAATTTTAGTTTATGATATTTTCTGAATTTTAAAAAGAAAAAAATTCTTAAATATAAATTTGCATTTTATAGAAAATTAATATAGTAATTACATAATTAAAATTTCATAAAGAAACATTTTGACGAAACTTTAATTTATATAGTTAATTAATAGTGTTTATCTGCTAGCTAAGCTCCAAGTCATAATTATGATAACGCAAAACTTCAGATTCTTTGATTTTTTTTTTTCAGCGTTAAACTTAACGGACTCGTTACAGTTCCCTCCAAATGATTTTTAGTGAGCCTACCTACAAAATAAAAATTATTACAATTTTGATTTATGTTTTTTTAGCATCTTTTTTTGCAATAGATAATTGTAATCGAGTTGGATAATAAAACTTAATATTTTTAAAATGTATTTATTATAAAATTAAAATTTATTTCAAAATCTTTTTCAAATATATTTTTTATTAGATGAATATACTTGACAATCATTCAGAATGTTTTTTTTTATATTTTTGAAATTTTTAATTTAATTATATAATATTCTTAAAATTTTGAGTTGATTAACCTTATTACAGCATGAACTAAATGTTTTCTACCGGTGAAATGAGATTCATCAAGAATTTTAATAGCAACAATATCTAAATTATAAATATTACAAAATTATAATTATGAAAAAAATATGTTTTGAAGAATTTAAAATACAGTTCAACGGTTATAAATATTGATCTCTTTTTCTAACCAACGGATAAAGGTACTTGCAAATATATCTAAAATTCAAATCGATAATGGAGTAATAGCGTTAAAATTCATATAAACATTTTTTGAAAAAATGATATCCTTTATATAAATAAAAGATTATGAGAAAATTTATCTTTTATGATGTATCTGCAATTAACGAAAGTAAATTATAATAAATAAAATATTATCTTCTTTAAATAAGTTGTACAATAATTATATTGAAATGTTATAAATAATATGTTATCGTAAATGTTAATTAAATACTTTTACTACATTTCAAATTATTATTATTATTAATTTTCATAAAAATTAAAATATCAGTTAAATGTAACTACGACTTCAATAGTAGATAAGATGGTGGATTTCCCCAACTAGATAATACGTAGTCCCTCTTAATTTTTGTTTTTTAATTTCGATCCTTGATTTTTTTTCTCTTGATATTTGCCATTGATTTGTCTTAATAAATGTGATGTTAATGATGTTATAATATAGAACATCATTAAAGGTATCACATTAATGAATAATATTATTTAGTTCTAATATATATATATATATATATATTTATTTATTTATTTATTTTTCATGAAAAGTAGTATCATATTTGAATAAATATTTAAGCATTATCCTAGAACAGATATTCTGCAACTATTATTCAATAACAAAAATTGAATAACTAATAGTGAATAATTCAGAAAAAAAGTGAGATTTACACAAGGTATTTTGTTAAGTGGAAGAAAAACTAGATTTAGGTTATTATCTGAAGTTTTCAACAGTAGTAAATGTTGTCATAAACAATTAAAATAATTCAGGAAGAACAGCTTAAGTGAGAAGTAAAGTTTAAAAATATAATGCAGTTAAAAACAAAATTTCAAGTTCTTTTGTATGATATTTTAGTTTTCTGGAGAGATCAGAAGTTATAACAGGAAAAATATTTATTTCATTAATATTTTTTTAAAGTTATTTATCAAACAAAATTTGTGTTTAATATTATATATATATATATATATATATATATATATATATATATATATATATATCTTTATAAATATATGACGTTTTGTTATTTTTACAAATATCTCAATTGTATTTTATATCTATGTTATTTTTATTATAAACGCATTTTGTGAGATGCATTTTAACGGAACATATTCAAAGTGACAAATTTTAATTAAGTATTAAAAAACTTTATTATTATTATTATTATTATTATTATTATTATTATTATCACTGTTATAGTATGTATTAACATTAAATGCTACATTAATATTTCAATTTGATCAAGTCCAACTGTTACCAGCGATTAAAAGAAATACGGGTGAACAAGTATTTTTTTACTATTTTTCATGAGACATTTTCAATTAATTTCTCTTTCTAATCATATTTGTTTATCAATAAATTAATATAATATTAAACGTACATAATATATATATATATACACACACACACGAGAGAGAAAAGGTTAAAATAATTATTTTTATTGCATAATATATTTACATATAAAGGGATTATGATTAAAAGTTATGTTTTATTATTAAATGTAATACATAAATAAAAATATTTACATAATTTACTAAATTAGTAACATTAATATCTATGCAATAAATGTCATTAATGAAAATATTTCGTCCAACATAAGTAAGTAAATCAAAGTTGATTAGAATTTAGAACTAATAACAATATGTTGATTTTTTTACAATAAAATGATTAAATAATAAGAAAGAAAAAGTTATAATATGAATCAATTTATGTTTGAACTGAACATCTTCAGGGGAGTAGAAAATGATATCACAGTGAGTAGTCCACACTTGTATTGAAGTGACAGTTGGCGTGAAGGGATATTGCCACGTGTGTAACTGAAAAGCGAAAAGAAGATATGAATATTATTATATTAATTGGTATATGTTTGTCGATTTAAATAACAGAAAGATACATGGTTTACCATATTTACTTCCCTCTAATTTTTGTTTTAAAAAAATCGAAAAATGCTGCCATTGAACGCGAGGATAGCAGGTTTGAAGAGTGAGCGTGAACAGCAAAAGAAAAGCAAGAAGACAGATAGAAGAAGGTAGTGGAATTGCTAAACATAGGTTGCAATGTTCTTATTCAGAATGCTTTCAACAGAAAACCGCTTTCTTTGTGTTTCTTTTTTGTTTTTAGAAATTCGTATAACGACCGAAACGCTGTTTCTTTTCTCTTTTTTTTTTTTTGTTCTTTTTATTTCATTTTCATTTTCATTTTAATTCCCTGTCTTATTTTTGGGTTTAGCAATTTCGGGAAGAGGTTTTTGCCATCTTGCATGGGATTTCAATCTCCAACTTCTCGCCCTACCCGAAGTGACGCCGTTTTGAACCACCATCCACCATTTCCGATCATTCACCAGTTTCTGCTGCCGCCGCCGCTGCCGCCACCGTCTACGGTTCTGCTTCCGATACCTTTCAACCCCTCACTTTTCTTCATGATGGACAATCAAAGGTCCATTTCTCTGCTTCAGGTAAACCTTTTTTCTTCTGGGTTTTGAAATTTGTTTTGCTGGTGTTTCGGTTTTATTTAAAGTTTATGACTATTTGTTTTGGGGTTTATATATTTCTACGCAGTTCATGGTTCATGAAGGACTTGTTCCGTCGCTAGATGAGGAGGAGAAACGTAAAAATGTTATTCAGAAGCTTAAACAGGTTTTCTTCTGCAGCATTCCCTTGTTTGTTCTTAACATGTGGTTTTTGCTCCGACTTTTTCAATCTTTGTTTTCTTTCTGAATGCATGAGTTGCGTTTTGGATGCGTCCTCTGTTTTTCTTGAAGGTTGCTTCTTTATTTTTACTTTTTTGTTCGCAAAAGGTTTGTTTACATTTTCTTGATTTTTTACATGTATGGACTGTACAGTGTCTATTGTGTACGACAACATTGTCCTTACTAGTTACTTCAACTAGCTTTTGTTTTTGTCCTAGAAAGAAGTGTGTGTTTGGGAATGCATTTTGAACTTAGCTTTTCACGTCTGATGTGAGGAGTTAGCAGTTTCAAGTGAGACGTGAATTGTGGTTGTTTGTTATGCATGTCACCTTAAACAATTTGACTAGTTAGCATGGACAGAAAATTTTAATAACTTTGTCTTTATTGTTTGACTAGTCATAAATTTTTTAAGTAATGAACTATTTGTTGTGTAGTTTATAAGAAAGATCAATAAATATGTCAGATTTATTACTTTAAAATATGTAGCTTTGTTCATAAAATTCGTAAGATTTTTAAACTGTGCGAGTTATTGAACTCATTTATTAATGAAAAGACTTAAACAACAAAGTTGACCTTTTCGCAACAATTATAACTTTTAATCCCTTGTGCATCCAGAGTTAAAATTCGAATTTTATGTTACCAAATCCCTGTATTTATTTGTTTCTTTAAATTAAGTTTTCTTAATTTTCATCATGGTATTTGATTTGGCATTTAGTACTATCTCGACGCAGATTTTGTATTTATATTTTATTATCTTATTACCTTACTTATCATGTTATTTGCTTTGCAGATAGTCTCATCGTGGATCAAGAAGGTTGCATGCCTGCATCAACTACCAGAGCACCAAATTGCTGTCACATCTGCCACAATATTGACTTATGGATCTTATGGCCTCGGAGTGAGTTAATCCCGTGCTACTGCTTGGTTTTCTTGGTCTATAATAAAATGAGAGATGACAAATTTATTGTGTCCGGATTTCTCATAATTTTATTCTTAGACCTTTTTCACATGTCTAAAGCTTGCTTTCTCTTTTAAACTTTCAATGACGTCTAGGTTCACAGCTCAGGGTCTGACATTGATGCTTTGTGTGTTGCTCCTTTCTTTGCCTCAATTGCAGTAAGTTAATTGTGTTTCTCTTGTTTATCATTTCCTTAGGTTCTGTAACATTCGCCTAAACTTTTACTGATATGATCTATGCAGAATGACTTTTTTGTTGTGTTGTACGACATGCTTAGAAGGAGACCCGAAGTATCGTATATTCACTGTGTCAAGAGTGCAAAAGTCCCTTTAATGCGATTTACATTTGAAGGGGTTTCCATTGATCTTCCGTACGCTCGGCTTAATGTACTATATGTTCCTGAGGTCAGTATGAGGAGTGTTGCTTGTGTGGAGACCTTTTAAAAACATTATGCTCAAAATTTCTTCGAATCAATGTCATTACCTCTTTGGGTTATGCATTAAACCATAACACTTTTTATATTTACTATTATTCTGAATTTGGCTTGTTAAATAATCAATTTCTTACTGACGCCGTTATTTATATTGCAGAATGTTGACATATTAAATCCATTTTTCATGAGGAATATTGATGATACCAGCTGGAAAAGCTTGTCCGGGGTACGGGCAAATAAATACATTCTTCATCTACTTCCTAATATAGAGGTAAGATGCATGCCAATCATTAATTTTCTCTGTAAAAGAAAATAAACAGATTCATAAGCAATTGGACAATTATCTTGATGATGCAAAGGATGTGAATATCTTGATTTTTGTTGATGTTCTTTTAGTTGAGAATGGGTTTTAATTTGGTTCCATGCAAGTGAGGGTAGTTTTGATTTATTGTTCAATTGCATTATTGTCTCTTTAATGAAAATCTCATGTATTTCAGAAATTTCAATGCATGCTACGATGTCTTAAACTATGGGCAAAAAGACGAGGAGTTTATGGAACTGTAAGTGCATTTGTACTTTCAAGTAATGGTTACCTTCATAACTTTATGCTTGAACTCTAATTTTCTGCTTAACATGAAGTAATATTTTCCTTTGCAGTTGCTCGGTTATTTGGGAGGAGTTCATATGACAATTCTTGCAGCATATGTTTGTCTAAGACACCCAGACGCCACCTTAAATGCTCTAATTATCAACTTTTTTCAAACATTTGCATTTTGGCCCTGGCCTTCTCCAGTGATGTTGCAGGAAGGAATGTTGTTAACAGTCGTAAATGCGATAGAAACACGGTCCTTCATGCCTATATTTCTGCCATCTAGCTGTTATGAGTACTGTCATACAAATATTACTAAAAGCACTTTCTTTCGGATCAGGACTGAGTTTCTTCGTGGACATGAGATGACAAAGGTATGTTGTGTTGCTTAACCTGGTCTCCTTTAGATATACATTTCACTTACCTGTGTTATTATACACATTTTAGCAGAGTGACTTGATCATAATGCACTGTGTATCAAACTACTTCCTTTTTCTTGGATAACCATGATTGAAGTTGATGCTACTATTTTATTCTCTGATGATTTACAAAGGTACTTAGTCAAAAGAGCTAAATAAGTCTCTCATTTTCTTTATGTGTTTGAATTGAAGGATCTTTTGAAGCCAGATTTCATTTGGGATAATGTATTTGAGCCTTTTCCATACTCAAAAAGATACTCCCAATTTCTGAAGATATGTCTCACTTCTCCTAACCATTATGCACTGATTGAATGGGTTGGTTGGGTAAAGTCACGCTTTCGAGGTCTTCTTCTACATGTAAGGAGCTCAAATTGTAAAATTGGTTGTTTTATATCATTATTATATCTACTTTTACTTTAGAAGTGATAATGATCCATATCATTCATGGCTATCACACCAGGGAAGCTTCGTATTTATTTGTATATTATTATGTAACATATGATGCTTCCATTTAAACTATTATAACCATATTAAGGTCACTTGTATGGGCTTAGAATAAATATTTATGTTGTAAAAATATCATCTTCTACTGTTAATTTTATTGTTACTTTTGGGAACCTCACTTATGATCATGAATCAATCAGGAATTTATTGTTTTCTTTCCGTAAATTTTATTGTCATTTCCTCATATAGTTTTGTCTGCTGCAGCTGGAGGTTATTCAAGGATTTTGTGACCCTAATCCCACAGAATATGTTGATAGTGAGAAAGCAGAACCAAACGTAGTTTTCTACTGGGGTTTGCAGCCAAGTAACAATAATATCCTGGACATTGATTCGGTCAAGGGGGAGTTCATGAAGATTATCAAGAATGGCTATGAAGGTTCTCCTGGGAAGATGGAGATGTCCATCCTGATAGCTTCTCAGCTCCCTAATTGATGATAGGGCTGTAAAGGGTGGTGGATGGATGACAAGAAAATGAATCCAGTCTTTGTTGTGGAAAAGGAACTCAACATCTTCCATATTGCCTTTGTCACAAGTTCTAGTGGGGAAACTGAATGCCTAAAAGTTCTAGTGGCTAGATTTATTTTATTTTGATTTATCTTGCATCTTGTTGTACTATAGACCTGCATATTCCCATTTTCCAACTTTTTTTGGCTTCTAACTTGAGTAGGAGCATAGGTTTACATAGGATCACCAAAGGATGAGTAGTAGTCTTTTAGTCTTACAGTAGATAGAAGAAATTTTTGAAAAAGTCAAGAGTTACAAGGGTTGGGACATGTAAAGTCAATAAACATCATTTTACCTTTCCAAATATAGTAGACAAATCAATGATTAGTAGGAACATCAAGAAAAATCAATAATATCTCAGAAAAAATTAACACCAATATTTACGTGTTCTGGAATTCTTGATAGAAAGTTTTATAACCGAGCTCAATTGACATGTTAGTAATATGAATTCTCCAGGATAGTCACATTACATACTATTTTCATTTAGGTTATTGATTTACTTGTTTTTCTTGATTCATTTTGTCGCGGTATGTTATATTTCTTTTAAACCATGTTAATTGTTTGAGGTACTGTATGAATGTATTATTTCGATTTCTGCATTCCAATCTAACTCTGGCCTTAAAGAGAAGGTAAAAGCATTTTGGACGTATAATAATGTTCATTCATTATAATAATAACTAATAGTAATATAATATAAATGAGCATAAAGTATCAGTTGTGGATCCGTGGCGCAATGGTAGCGCGTCTGACTCCAGATCAGAAGGTTGCGTGTTCGATTCACGTCGGGTTCAATTCCCGTTTTTAAGTATCAGAACTTTTTTTTTTTTAATTTTAAATAAAAGTTTGTTCTTCTAATTTGGTTTCAAATACATTTATTATATTTAATTTATCATCCTAAAGTTCACAATAATTATATCTCTGAGAAAAATCAAAACAAACACAATTTTTAAAAGTGGAAAACATTTTAAAATTAAAGTAATACTCACTCTTATAAAAATATATTAAATTTCTTAAAATAATACTATATTTAACGTTTAATAAAATTTACTCAATAAAATAATATTAATTTGACCATTGAATCATATTTAAATATATAAATATAACTTCGGAGAATGTAGCGCATAAAAAACCAAGTAAGAATTTTGGAGAAGATTGAAAAAAAAATATATATAAAGAATTAGGTGATTCTCAGTAAAAAAGTTATGGTATAATTTTAGCAGTGGAGGAAAATCAAAATATATAAAAGAAATTCAAAGGAAGAGGAAGAGAAAAATTAAAAAAAATAATATTAATTCGATTTAGGATGTGGTGGAATAATGCAAGATAGGACAAATTTTAATTTCTTCTATTATGAAAAGTTTAGCCTAAATATTGCAAATATAAATAACATGCAAATGTTTTAAAAAGTCAATATTAATATTAATAGATGGGTAAAATTACAGCAAGACATTTTTTTGGTGGGTATTTAGATATTAAGTGTAGATTTATGTTTTAACTAGAAAAGAAAAAAAAAAAGAACCCTTCTACAAATAAAGCATAAAATCTTCCTTAAAATATGAAAACAATATAAATATTTCCATGTTGAGAAAATGTTAAATTACTCTCATATTTAAAGATGAATTACATAAATTTGCATGTTTTCATCATAATTTAGTGAGTATGAGACAATTATGAGTAAAAACTTATAACATGTATATTTAACATGGATACTACACCTTAATTAATTACTATGTTTGAAATATAGAAAATATATTAAACCCTAACCACTAAACTTTGAAATACAGGATAATATTGAAGTAAAGAAAAATTTTATATTTTGATTTATAATTTATTTTATATTAACCATTGTGGTTATATATATATATATATATATATATAACTGAGAGAAGTAATAAAAATTTGATTTAATGGTAATTTTAATAATAAATATTAAATAAAATTACATTGGCATATTAAAGAAATTACAGGAAATAGGCCATAAGTTTCACCGAATCTTTATCTAATTAAATTTATATTATTTAATATTTTATTTTTCCAATAAATAATCATATGCTGCACGTTTGTATCAATAAGAATCTGAAAAACAATTAGTGAATTCAATTTCAGCAACTGTAATATCTCTTTCCTTTCTTCTTTCGTCATGCGTGAGTGTCTGGTATTTTACTTTTGACGTTGTATGTATAATTACTATCAAATATTATATGTGTCACAAAAGATTATTACGAAAAATAAAGTAACATTTGATTTTAAATAAACTCTAGCGTGCTTGTTCTTATATATTTTTTATATGGTAATGTGATAAAGTTTGACAATCCAAATAGTTTTTTGCAAGTGAATATTATTATAACATGAAATAATATTAATATTAATATAAATGAGAATCAATCATCACCTGTGGATCCGTGGCGCAATGGTAGCGCGTCTGACTCCAGATCAGAAGGTTGCGTGTTCGATTCACGTCGGGTTCAATTCCCAATATTTTTTTTAAAACCTTTTTAAGGAAAAATCTTATCTTCTTTTTATTTTTAACCCTTTTTTTTCAGAAAAAAACTTATCTTGTGTATTTTTCTCAACAAACGAAAACTATTTATAAAATGAGTAGATTGATAAAAAGATCCAATATTAGTTTTTTTTTTCTTTTTTTACCATATGTAAAATATACTATAAGTGTAATTTTGTTTCCTTTCCACAGGGACCAGGGGATTGAATCTAGTCATAAGAAGAATAAAATGTTTGACTGTTAAATAACTCATTTCTTGGTCTTTGACCCCCTCAGTCACTACGAACGCCCCCGATCAGTGCAATACAATGAGATGTGTCTATTTATCTATCTCTCTTAACTCGAAATGGGGGGAGCTGGTTTGAAAAAGGATCTTAGAGTGTCTAAGGTTGTGCCAGGAGGGTCTCTTAATGCCTTCCTTTTTCTTCTCATCGGAGTTATTTCACAAAGACTTGCCATGATAAAGAAGAAGGGGGAATAAGCACACTTGGAGAGTGCAGTACAACGGATAGTTGTATGCTGCGTTCGGGAAGGATGAATCGCTCCCGATAAAGAATCTATTGATTCTCTTCCAATTGCTTGGACTGTAGGTGCGATGATTTACTTCACGGGCGAGGTCTCTGGTTCAAGTCCAAGATGGCCCAGCTGCGTCGAGGAAAAGAATAGAAAATTGACTTGACTCCTTCATGCATGCTCCACTCGACTCGGGGATATAGCTCAGTTGGTAGAGCTCCGCTCTTGCAATTGGGTCGTTGCGATTACGGGTTGGATGTCTAATTGTCCGGACTATAATCTATAAATTAACTAATTTTTAAGAGTGAAATTAGTCTAATATAAAACTTTAAATATTGAAAAATAGATTATAATCCCCAAATTAATTCCACGTATTACAAATTTAGATTAAGTTAGGTTGATAAACTCAACCCAACTTACTTGTATGAAAAAAGTGAATCATTCATTTAAGATCTAACTTATTCAGTTTGAACTTGTGCTAGTCATTAATACACGAATCAAGAGATTACTTAAAATAAAATAAATTTCACTTTATTAGTTAAAAATATATTGATTATAAAAAATCAATAATGTTTATAGTCCTTATTAAATGAACTATGTCACAAAATAAATTAAAAAACACTAGTAAATGTCACCTAGATGACTACTTTTATTCAAGAAATAATTAATATATACCTATTTGGCTTTTTATTCAATAAATTAGTTAATTAATACCATGTAATATCAAAGAATAAAAGCTATTATCTTCAGTTTTCGAGAAATGATAAAAAAAGCTACTGAAAATAAAATCAAGACTTATTTTACTTCTATAAAAATTAAAAGCATACTTAATTACAAATATAGTATTGTATATTTCATCCTTAATTGTTTTGTAATTACCCTTTTAAAATTGAAAATACCACTTGATTTAAAACTTTAAATTTAAATGTTTGATTTTCTTAATATTTTACAATAAAAATAAAATAAAAATTTATTTTTATTTGAATTTTAATATATATTCTTAAAAACACATGTTTGTCCACTCGTTAATTAATCTAAGTTGGAATATAATTCTTAAAAGTTGCTGTATTTTGTTCCTTTTTTTCTAGTATATATATATTATCTTAAAAGTAAATAAAATATAAATTTATATTACTTCTACCTCTAAATCTATTCTTCCCGAGAATTATCACTTGTAAAATCTACTCCCACATAAACTCATAATCATCATAGTTCAAAATAATATACAAAACATGCAGGGGAAGCTAATAATTCAATTTAAGTATATAAAATTCAAAAGTGAAATAAAACAATCTATATAATTCTGTTGTATTTATATAATTTATTATATATATATATATATATATATATATATATATAAATAAAGTATTATTCTCTATTTGTTATGGATTAACATTAATCAATAAATTAATTATTTGTAATTATCAATTATATTACACATCATCATTTTTTATAAATAATAATTTAATTTGGGTTTCGATAAACGATCTGTGATAGGTTGAATTGTTCGAATAAGTTACTTATTGAAAGATCCTGGTCTCTGCTGATAGGTGGATAAAAACTGATACCTCATTAGTCAGTTTTACGTGTGACAACAAAAACCACTTTACATAGTACGTTCAACAGTAACCTCCTATCAGGAAGAGAGTAATCTGTTCTCTCATACGCGCTCTATGGATCCTTCAACGATTCCGGTACACAATCTCTTGAATATATTATATTTATTGTATCTTATATTGTTATGTGTTTCAAACAATTGGTATCGAGCTATTAAGATACAAAATATAATTGTTCATTATTTTTGAAGAGTGTATCATAAATTTTAATAATTATTCATTATCAATAGGCATGAAAATTAGTAAATTTAACCTTTTCGTTTGAGTTCAAATTCATTGATTAAGGAGTGAATTTCAAAATTCTTTTCTGGGGGAGAGAACTCTAATAAAATAAAATCCCCAATTATAAAAAGTAGGGTTTTTTCTTTTTGAACCCTAAATCTGCAATTAGAGTTTTTTCTTTTTTGAACCCTAAATTTGCAATCCTTTTAACATGTTTCGAATCAAACCTTGATACTATCAATCTCTGTAACAATGATGGGCAAAACAATTTGGATGTTTTTTCGAACCCCTTCTTCCCGCGTGTCTTCATCCTCCGGGGTGGATGCGCCTCTGTTTTCCGGCTTCACTAGCATGGTGGCAGCGACATGGTTTACGCAACAGCATGGTGGTCTGCGACGGTGGGTATCTGCGTCGTCGTCTTCCTCAGCGCACCTCCTGCGTGTGCGTCCTTGCCGACGAGAACTAGTGGCCCGTGAATTCGCCTTCACCCTCTCTGTTGCGCATGCGTCTCCCTTTATGGTGGCTGACGTGGTATTTTTCGTTGTCTTGGAGAATCTGCGAGTTGCGGTGGTGGTGATGCGCGAAAAAGAAGAGTTGGGTTCTGCCATTTTGATGGTGGTTCAAACAATTATGTTTCACTTTGTCACGTTCGATCATTGTTAAAATCCTAATTGAATATTAAAATTTTATATTTTGGAATATATTACAAAGATAGTGATTAATTATATAATATTTATATATATATATATATATATATATAATAATAAATTATATATATATATATATATATATATATATATATATATATATAATCTTATCATTATTATAAATTCATGTATCATATAACTTCATTATAAGCATGATATAATTTTATATGATTGTGAACTCATCTATCATGGGTACAATTATATGAAATTTGTGAAAATAAAATAATTTATTTATTTTGTAAAAATAAAATAAATTATTTATTTTGTAAAAATAAAATAAATTATTTATTTTATTTAATTTTATTAAGTCAATTATTTGTCTTGTACCTTATCGGTATTAGATTTCTAGTACATGAGATATGCATTTTATTTTTTATTTGGTATAATGTAATTTGAATTTTATTATGTCAATTATTTATCTTGTACCCTATCGGTATTAGATTTCTTGTGACATGAGATGTGCATTGTATTCTTATTTTTTATTTTAATTATATTTCTTATTTATTATGACTCGGGACCCTTAGGCGGGGTCATAGTGAATGATAAATTTGATATTGTAGGCATGTTTTGTTGTGTATTCAAAGACATTTATTTTGTTTATTTGCACAATATTTGCGCGTATTAAATGTTTCTTTGTTATTTTGATACCAGCTTCTTTGCCTATGCAATTGACTTCGGTCAAAACTTTAAATGGGACAAACTTTGAGGATTGGAAAGGATCTCTGGATTTGTATTTGGCAATTACCAATATGGACCTTTGTTTGAGAGAGAACGAGCCTCCAACTCTTACTCCTGAGTCCACTACTGTCTAAAGAGCTTCTCGTGAGAAATGGGAACACTCAAACAGGGTGTGTTTGATGGTGATGAAATACACCATGGAGAACTCTATTCGACAAAGCATTCCATATGATGATAATGCTAAGGTTTTTCTGAGATCAGTGGGTGAGAAGTTTAAAACTTTTGACAAAGCTCAAAAGGGGCAATATCTGTCACTTCTTGAGAAGACCAAATATGATGGTGTCAGTGGTGTTCGTGAGCATATGATGAAGCTTGTGCACTATTATAACAAACTCAAATCTTTAAAGGTGGAGCTTGGTGACAGTTTTTTTGTCTAGCAGGTTATAGAATCACTTCCTTCTCAGTTTGATGTGTTGAAGACTTCTTACAATGCTCAGAAGGAGGAATGGACGATTGATGAGATGATAGCTATTATTTCCCAAGAGGAAGAATCTATTAAAAAATCCAAGCCGCATAGTGTGCAGTTCACAGCTATTACTTCAGGTACTAAACCTGTTAAAAAGGGTTTCAAAGGAAAATCTAGCCATGAAAAGGGGACCACAGGGAAAGCATCAGGAGGTTACTGTTGAACGTACTGTGTAAAGTGGGTTTTTGTTATCACACGTAAAACTGACTAGATATCCCTGTGTTCCTCTTTTCATGGCTAGATTTGCCTTTGAAACCATTTTTAACAGGTTTAGTACCTGAAGTAATAGTTGTGAACTGCACACTATGCGGCTTGGATTTTTTAATAGATTCTTCCTCTTGGGAAATAATAGCTATCATCTCATCAATCGTCCATTCCTCCTTCTGAGCGTTGTAAGAAGTCTTCAACACATCAAACTGAGAAAGAAGTGATTCCATAACCTGCCAGACCAAAAAACTGTCACCAAGCTCCACCTTTAAAGATTTGAGTTTGTTATAATAGTGCACAAGCTTCATCATATGCTCACGAACACCACTGACACCATCATATTTGGTCTTCTCAAGAAGTGACAGATATTGCCCATTTTGAGCCTTGTCAAAAGTTTTAAACTTCTCACCCACTGATCTCAGAAAAACCTTAGCATTATCATCATATGGAATGCTTTATCGAATAGAGTTCTCCATGGTGTATTTCATCACCATCAAACACACCCTGTTTGAATGTTCCCATTTCTCACGAGAAGCTCTTTGGACAGTAGTGGACTCAGGAGTAAGAGCTGGAGGCTCGTTCTCTCTCAAACAAAGGTCCATATTGGTAATTGCCAAATACAAATCCAGAGATCCTTTCCAATCCTCAAAGTTTGTCCCATTTAAAGTTTTGACCGAAGTCAATTGCATAGGCAAAGAAGCTGGTATCAAAATAATAAAGAAACATTTAATACGCACAAATATTGTGCAAATAAACAAAATAAATGTCTCTGAATACACAACAAAACATGCCTATAATATCAAATTTCTCATTCACTATGACCCCGCTAAGGGTCTCGAGTCATAATAAATAAGAAATATAATTAAAATAAAAAATAAGAATACAATGCAAATCTCATGTCACAAGAAATCTAATACCGATAGAGTACAAGATAAATAATTGACATAATAAAATTCAAAATTACATTGTACCAAATAAAAAATAAAATGCATATCTCATGTACTAGAAATCT